GCCGGGTGGCTGGTGCAGAAGGGCTGCCTTGCCCCAGCCTTCGCCCCCCGCGGCACAGCGGCCTTCCCGGACACCCGGTCAGGGAGGAGACCCTCCTGCTTCTTCCGCCTCTCCCCGTCCCTCCCTCCCTCCCTCCCCCTTTCCTCCCTTCCTTTCAGCATCTTTGTGGAGACGTCATTTACCTGTCCTCTATTTCACTCACTTAAAGTGTACAGTTCAGTGTTTTTAGTCTGTGGAGTTGGACGATCATCACCATAGTCAATTTTAGAGCATTTGCCTCACCAGCCGTGACTCCCCAATCCCTCCTCCCCAGCCCCTGGCTCCCACTCATCTGCTTTCTGTTTCTGTAGACTTGCTTATTCTGGACATGTGCTTATTCATGCGTGTGGGATCATATGAATGTGGTCTTCGTGACTGGTTCCTTTCGCTGCGCGTGATGTTTCCAGGCTTCATCCACGTGGGAGCGGCTGTCAGCCCTTCATTCCTTGTTGGAAGCTGACGGTATATTCCGGCGTGTGCCTGGTCACCCACCGATGGGCCTCGGGACTGTTTGCGCACTTTGGCTCTTCGGAGTTGAAGCCGTTGCATCCTCTTCCCGGCCCCAGAGTCCCCTCCACCCCCAGCCCTCCGCTCCCATCCTGTTCTCCGTTTGTTTTCATCACCATCATGAGCTGGGAGTTTTGACCACCATGTATGTATCCGACACGGTAGATAGTTTCATTTTCTCGTTTTAAAAACATTTTATAGATGACATCATACTGTGCATATTCAAGTTACTCTTCAGTGGTAGGCTTGTAAGTTCCCCGATCTTGGTTCTTGTAGTTCCTTCGTTTTTATTGTAGTTAGTATTCCATTATAGGTGTATGTTCCAGTTTGTTTATTTGTTACTCAGTTGATAATGGACAAAGGGATAATGTGAATTCATTCTTCAGTTGATGATGGATAAAAGTTTTTCTTAATTTTTTTTTTCTTTTTAGCGTTAGTGACATCGCTGAACCTGCCTCCTGCGTCCTTACACAAGGGGTTTTCATGGCGTGTGCCTAGAAGTGGCATTATGTCGTGTGTATCTGCTTTTTGTGAGGAATCACTGGGGTCCTCTTTAAAGCAATGAGTTACTGTGGTGTTTTTAAGCAGTACAATTCATTAAAAAGTTTATTGGTGAACATATTTTTTAAAGAATGATTTCATGATGTGCTACTTATTCTTTTAAAATGGCTTTAGCTGAAGCCTGTTTTTCTTTTTGGCTATGCAAGACCAGATAAAAATGCAATTTTAATAAGATAAAACGAGATGCCTTTTAGTCTGAGCTTGAACTTTGCTGGAACATTTTCTGCTCAATAAACACAAGTGGTGTGCCCATGAAGAATTAATGCACTGGCGCTTTCCTGGGAGGCAAGGGGCCTGCAGCTTGTGGTAACACTGCAAGACCCATGGAAATGCCTTGCACATAGAGGGCAGAGGCCCACTGCCTGCTGGTTTTGAGCCCTATTCGTGTACTGAGACATAAGGGAAGGGTGCAAGCCAGCAAGGTAGGTGCATAGTACCGGTGAATGCTGTCTGTAGGTCACTTGGCGGTAGTCAAGCTGCTGCCATTTATGGCTGTCTCATTTCTTACACGTTCTTATTCCCATTTCCGAGACGAGGAAGCTAAAGCCTAGAGCAATTACCCAGGCCCTTTGGTTCTTAAAACAGGAAACCTACCAAGGTCGGGGAAGCCTCCAAGAGATTTCTGGAAAGGGACCACGACAGAGGGGTTGTGCATGACCTCCGTGGGCTGATACTCTTTCTTTCCAACAACAACAACAAACCCCCAAACCCTCCTGGATTCTGTGGGTCAGACTGGTCTCTTTTCCATGGTGTCACTGGGAAGGTTCAGAGGCTGGGAGGGAAATCAGAAGAAGGCTGGTGACTCACGCCTGTCGAGGTTGATGCCGGCCATCATCAGCTGGGACACCCCCTGGAAGCTGTGGTTCTAGTGCTTACATGTGGGCTTCTTCAAAGCCTGGTGCCTGGGTTCCAAGAGAGAACCCAAGAGAACCAGGTGGAAACTGTGCTGCCTTTAAAAGCTTACATCTTCATTGAGACTCACATATAATAATAGTTCACCCATTAAAATTCACGTACAACACCATTCCCTCATTTAAGGGGTGAAAGTCAGTGGTACTGCGGTGTATCCGTCACCACAGTCAACGTTAGAATATGTTTGTCCCCTCAGGAAGAAGCCCTGTAGTCTTCTGCTGTCACCCCAGTCTCCCATCCTCCACCCCAGGCAACCACTAGTCTCCCTTCTGTCTCCCTTCTAGACATTTCATGTCAGTGAGATCATAGAATAGGTTTTTTTTTTAAAGATTTTTATTTATTTGACAGAGAGGGAGTGTTAGAGCAGGAACAAACAGGGGGAGTGGGAGAGGGAGAAGCAGGCCTCCCTCGGAGCAGGGAGCCCGATGTGGGGCTCGATCCCAGGACCCCGGGATCAGGACCTGAGCCGAAGGCAGACGCCCAACGGCTGAGCCACCCCGGCGCCCCAGAATAGGTGTTTTTTCATGACTGGCTTCCCATGCGTAGCGTGATGGTTTCAAGGTTCTTCCGTGTTACAGCGTGAGCTAGCACTTTATTTTTTAGCTGATGACTATTTCACTGAATAATATTCCAGTTTACCATGTTTTTGTTGTCCAAGAACATTATAAACGCCAATTCATTTTTTTTTTTTTTTTTTGTAGGTAAACTTAAAGGTTCGTGCGAGTTTGGAGTCCAGTGTGCTTGTCTTTGCCTGCCTCATACTCCTCACAACCCCGTCGCAACGTGGGGGCTATCGAATGTACGTTAAATTTTGCTGAAACATTTTAGGATATAAAAGGGAACATTTTCTGTAATTAAAATGTTGTGTCACAGGCACAGACATGGAGGAATGAATGGAAAACTGAAAAAATGCCCCAGCATAGAGTAATCTCCTGCGTATTGAAGACAGTGTCCGCAAACCAGTAGGGAATAGGATAGGTTTTTAACCAATGTCATTGGAGCAGTGGATTATTTTTTAAAAAAGTTTTCTACAGGCGCCTGGGTGGCTCAATCCTTAAGCGTCTGCCTTCGGCTCAGGTCATGGTCCCAGGGTCCTGGGATCGAGCCCCACATCGGGCTCCCTGCTCGGCGGGGAGCCTCCTTCTCCCACTCCCACTCCCACTGCTTGTGTTCCTGCTATCGCTATCTCTCTCTCTGTCAAAAGAAAAAAAAAAGTTTTCTACAGTCTGTAGCAAAATAAAATAAATTCTAGGTGACTCAATACTCAAGGGTAAAAAATAAAACCACACAAGTGTGGAACTAGGACACAGTTGGAGATTTATGCCATCTCAGTAAGTCGGCTGGGCTGAATGTTCGTGCGCTCCCAAAACTCACAGGAAGCCCTACCCACCAGACTGAGTGTGTTAGGAGGTGGGGGTTTTGAGGGGGTGAGGAGGTCCTGAGGCTGGACTCCCCCAGGGTGGGATTAGAGCCTTTATAAAAGAGACCCCAGAGACCTTCCCTGCCTCTTCCGCTGGGTGGGGACGCAGCAGAAGGCACCAGCTGAGGCCCTCACCAGATACCAAATCTGCCAGCACCTTGATCTTGGACGTCCAGCCTCCAGAACTGTGGGGAATAAATGTCTTTGTTTATAAGCTGCCACATGCGTGGTATTTTTGTTATAGCAGCCGGGATGGACTAAGACAGTTGGGGGTGGGCCTTTTTAAGTAGAGTCCTCAAAGGAGAGCCCCGTGTAACGCATAAAAGTGAGGTTGACTTAACCACAGAGACCTTTAAGCTTCCATAAGCCAAGAGGATGGCTTTGTCACCTGTCTGTCACCATTCTGTTCTCTTTTGGTTTTCTGCTGCTGCTGTAACAAATCAGCATAACCCTATTGGCTTATAATACACACTTGCTGTCTTATAGTTCTGGTGCTGGGCTAAGATGAAGGTGTTGGCAGGGCTGCAGTGCCCCCGAGACCCGTGCTCTTTCTCATCTTCCTGCCGTGCCCGCGTTCTCGGGTGGTTGATATCTCCTGCTCATTTCTCATGGTGGCATGAGGCTGGGGAACCTCTAGGCCTCACATGTGTGTTCCAGGCAGATGAGGAAGGGCCCACACTGCTGGTGACTGAGCTGCGCTGGGTCACAGGGCCTCCCCTGGCTGGACGCCCCCGCCGAGGAAGGGGTGCGGGTGCAGCCACTCAGTGGACCGCCCTGGTGTCTGCCACGGGGGCTGTTTTGTTTCCATCTGTTTTCCAAGTTTACTCTGATGAACAGAAGACTTTATTTTTAAATTTAATTTTTATCTTTTTTAAAAAGATTTTACTTAATTAGAGAGGGAGAGAGAGAGAGAGAGAGGGCACGAGTGGGGGAGCAGCAGTGGGAGAGGGAGAAGCAGGCTTCCCGCGGAGCAGGGAGCCCGATGTGGGGCTCGATCCCAGGACCCTGGGATCATGACCTGACCTGAAGGCAGACGCTTAACTGACTGAGCGCCCTGGGTGCCCCCAGAAAACTTTTATAATAAAATCATTAAGTCTTTAAAAAACACATTTATCTTCTTTTTGTGATTCTGCATTCTGTCTTTGACGAAATGGCAGCAGATGGGAATTTCCAGACGGGCATTTCAGCATTAGTTCGTAGTCCTGCCGCTGGCACACGGTCCGGGAGCAGAGGCTGCTGGAACTGGGCGATGCTGAGTGGCTCCCAGCTCCCAGCAGCCTCGTCGGCAGCGGCGCCTGAGGCCCTGCCGATGCGGTCAGGGCTGCGGCTCCCTGGGCTGAGGCCCATTTGCCCGGCAGGCTGAATGCCCCGTTGTGTGTGTGGCGTGGACCTGTGTGGCGCCATTCATCCCTTCCAGACGGGCCCTCGGGACCCGTGGCAGCTGAGGGAGAGTTGCTGCTCAGGCGTGTAGGTTACTGGGAACTGGTCCTTTTCCCGAGTTAGTGTGGGCTCTTGAGGAAGCCGGAGAGAAGCTAATCGGTTTTCCTTTCTTTTTAAACAGCATCCAGCATGTGTACGGCGCCCAGCACCCCCCCTTCGACCCACTGTTACACGGCACGTAAATGAGGCCTGTGGTCATGCTGCATCACGCACGCGCCTGGGCGTCCTGGTGACCCGCCGGCCTCCTCGGGGTCCTGAGGGGAGCAGCGTGGTCTTCCCTCGAGCAGACACGCGTCAGGGCCTCGCACGACTGGTCCTCCGGACAAGGGCAGAGGAGGAAGCCCAGCCCAAAGTGGAGGAGAGCACGAAGCTGGCACCCCCTTAGCTGACGGGAGGGCCTGGCCCCGGGCCTGTTCTCGGTGGTCAGCTCACTTCCCTTGCCCTCCACTGCACGCTCTGCCCCTGTGTCTGGCTCCTCCACCAGAGCCACGCAGGGGGCTGATGTGACCCCCCGCCCGTGCTGGCGGGTGTCACTGGGCCCCCCGCGGGGCCTCTTGCTCTAGTGGTGCTGTGTCGTGTCTGCACGCCGAAAGACAGCCGCTCCTGCCCCCGCCGCCCCCACTGCTGCCTTAGGAGGTTTGCGGGCACTGGCCCGGGTGAGGTTTGGGGACTCCCTGTGAATGCCGTGACTGCGGTGCTGGGGTTCCTCCTGAGTGGCTTCTGTCACTGAGCAGAGACTGCTCAGCGGTACTGCCCCTCGAGAGCCTCTCCTTCCTGCCCCCGAATCCTAGGAGTCCTCTTCTGTTTTTTTTTTTAGGATTATTTATTTGAGAAAGAGAGCGAGAGCACAAGAGTGGGGGGTTAGGGAGGGGGGCGAGGGAGAAGCAGACGCCCCACCGAGCAGGCAGTCCGATGTGGGGCTCGATCCCAGGACCCCGGGATCACAACCTGAGCCGAAGGCAGACATTTAACCGACTGAGCCCCCTGGGTGCCCCAGGAGTCCTCTCTCGGATGCCTCTTTGGGTTGTGCTTGCTCTTCACCCTCAGCTCAGTTGACACTGGAAGCTTGAATGTGCACCTTTCATCCATGGGCTCCTTTCTGACCGGTCGTGGGGTGAGTCCGCTCCAGCCTCCGGGGGGACAGCTGAAGTCTGCCTTTGCTTTGCAGCTTGCTCAAGGGCGCGCCCAAGGCGCCCGCCACACCCGTGAAGGCCAAGAGCATCAGCACCTTCCCGGAGTTTGAGAGCAACACCAGCGACGCCTGGGATGCCGGCGAGGACAATGACGGGCTCCTGGCCGTGGCAGCCGAGAGCCTGAACACCGACGTGGTCATGGAGACGGCCCACCGCGTCCTGCGCAACCACAGCCAGCGGCAGGAGCGCCGCAAGCCGCAGGAGGCGCCGGGCCCCGAGCAGGAGCCACAGCCTTCGGCAGAGCCTCCTTCGGTCCCGAGCGGTGACCTCGGCTGGTGAAGTCCGTCAGCGAGAGCCACACATCCTGTCCTGCAGGTGGGCGGGGGCGCGAGGAGATGACGCGCAGTGCTGCGAGGGAGAGGGGCTGGAGGCCTCTCGGTGCGGGAGGTTAGCGGGCGTTCCGTCCTCTTTGCCACAGGAGCTCGTGCCCTTGGAAGACCTTGGGGTTGTGATCCACGTGCCCACAGGCCTTCCCAGGCAGGAGAAGCCGTAGACTTTTCTTTGTGTCCCCAGCTGAGTGCTTCTCTCCTCCGGGTGGAGGGTGTGCTGTGTGGCTTTCGTGGCCTGGCTGTGAGAGGCCCACAGTGAGCACCAGGCCCCAGGGGACTGTGTCTCCCTTCTAAGTGTGCCCCGGTTGTCCCAGGGGGACATTTCCAGCTCAGGGGCCAGGCCAACTGCACATTCAGAGGCTGCACCTCCTCCGGCAGCTTCCAATGACACCCCCTCCCCCGCCGGGACACCTGCACGTGGCTCAGAGTCTGTAGGGGGCAGAGTCTGGGGTGTGGAATGACTGCCTCCAGGTCATACACTCAAGGATGCGATCAGCGCATGTCTCGTACCCCGTGCCTGGTGCTCAGTAGCCTTTCTGGAGACGGCTCTCAGTAGCTTTGCTTTTTGTTTTTGGGGGTGTCTATGATGTAAAACAACACAGTGTTTGATGAGCCTCTGTGATGGGCCAGACTCTTAGGGCTTGGGGTGCCCCCAGGAAGTCCCTGGCCTGGAGTGTGTGTTCTGGTGAGGGGGACAAGCACTGACCTACACGTTGGGTCAGTAAGGAGGCCTGGAGCGTGCGGGGAGGAGACAAGCGCCCTGGGTCGAGACAGAGGTGGGAGGTGGTGACAGCAGCCTGGACCTGGGGCGTAATCTTCAGTCAGAGCATCCAGATGCCCTACTGAGAAGGTGACACGTGAGCATCAGTGAGGTGAGGCAGTGAGGCGTGGGGAGCTGGTGGCAGAGGGGCCGGCCTGCACCGCGGCGGACTCACGGCCTCCCTCTCCCAGGGTCTCTGGGGGTCAGGGGGACTGCCCCTTGTTTACAGAGGAGAGAAGAGGGCATCGGGCAGCCTCAGCTTGCCCTGCTGGGACCACGGAGCTGGCGTTCATCCCCCTGTCTAGTTTTCAGAAACCCTTCCCGGGAGCTGACTAATGTTTGGAACATCACACGTCTTCGTGGGTGAGAACGCTGTGAATTAGTTCCTTTGACCAGTTTTCATATTGGAATCTGAACTGTTTTTCTCCAAAATAGGCTGAACTTCAAAGTATTTGAGTTTAAAAATGAAAATCTGTTTAGGGCTTCTGCGAGTGGGTCGGGGTTCCCCGAGACTGACGCATCCTATGCCGATTACCGCCTGCGCGCCCCGGCCGGGCAGTGCCCTCAGCCTGGGTGCCTGTTCAAGTTGGCAGGTGCCCCGGATTCCTCTGCCCTCTGCTGTGCCCCACGCCTCTGGGGCCTGGGTAGAGCCTCTGTGACACCTGCCATCTGAGCAGTTGCTGGGGGGCGGGCCTCAGCACCCGTAGAGGTGGGGGCCCATCTCGGCTGAGCGGGCAGGCTCCTGTTCTCTCAGGCCGTGGGGCTGCTGCGAAGAGCACCACAGGCCGATGGTGCATGAGCAGCAGAAAGTTAGGTCTCCTCGTTCTGGAGGCCGGAAGTCAGGTCAGGCGGCCAACACGGTTGGGTCCTGGCTCTCTTCGGGGCGCAGACAGCTGCCTTCTCACAGTATCCCAACATGGGGGAGACTAGAGAGGGGAAACGGGCTGTCTCGTGACTCCTCAGGAGCACCGATCCCATCAGGGGACCCCACCCTCCTGACTTCCTCTAAACCTGAGGCCCTTCTTCCTAACACCGTCCCGTCTGGGGAAGGACTTGCGCATACGGACTTTGGGGCCTCACGGCATTCAGCCCATGGCCAGGTATGCAGTTGGGCTGCATCCTGCCAGGGTGGGGAGCCTTGGGGTGGCCTCCTCCTGTAAAAGCCAGGTGAAGGATACCCCAAGCGGCTCATGCTGGGGAAGGGGCCGATTACTGTGTTTGCCTTCTGCCTCCACCCGTTTGCGCATCAACCATCTTTCCTTTGCTTTCTGAGCAGGCTTTTTGTGAGCAGTTCATTTCATGGTAGCAGCTAGTGTTTATCCATCGCTTACTGTGGGGCAGAGACTGTCTCGGGCCCTCGTCATGAACAGATCCCTCTGACTTTGCAGCCAGTCTAGGAGAGAGCTTACGGGGGAGGTATAGGGAGGTCACGTGGCTCGCCCAGCATGCTGAGCGGTGGGGTAGGGTTCAAGTCCAGGGCGTCTGAGGCCAGGGCCTGCTGCTAGCTGCTGACCTCCCCACAGAGAGCAGGGCCTCTTCGCTGGTGATGCCGCCCCCAGGGGACATGAGGTCCTGTGTTAGGACCTTTCCTGTTAACATCTGGGGCAGGGAGTGTGTGCTCCTGGCATGAAGTGGGCAGAGACCAGGGTGCCTGGCCCCCAGGGGACTCTCTGGCCCGACCGTGCACAGTGCCAAGGGGGAGAGGGCCGCTCTGGAGCCCGAGGTGGCCTCTCAGGGAGCCGACCCCACGGGTGGCTGGCAGTGGTGCGCAGAACTCGTGGGCCTGTGTTCAGTTCCCTTGGTGGGCTGTTAGTCGTGGGGCTGGCTTACTCGGTGTTGGCGCTAAGACGACCACATCAGCCCTCATTCTTACTGGGCTGGGCCCGGCGCAGATGTGTTGACTGGCAGGCAGTCTAGTGGGGAAACACAAGGATCTGAGTCTTTCACCTCCCTGGGTGGAATGGAGCCTTGGAGTGATGGACAGGACCCAGAAGCACCCAGGGGTAGAAGTCCCAGTTCAGTCTTGTTGGGGAGGGCCAGGACGTGTCAGGGAAGGCTTCACGGAGGAGGTGATGTCTCTAAGGTTACCGGTAGGGTGAGGCTCCAGGCTTAGGAGGTGGGGCCATCCCAGCCGAGGGGAGGTGCCGGGTGGGCTGGGCTGGCTGACTGCACACCTCATCTACGTGGTTTGCAAGTTCCCCCAAGGCAGGGACCATGCCCCATTACCTTTGTTTCCCTTTGGGGTCCTGTGTCATTATGTGAATGTTGCTGAGCTAAACTGAGGTGTCTTCAGGGCCTGGTGACCGCGGGCTCTCCCCTCCTCCATGTTCTGCCCCACTCTTGTCCCTGCACCGGCCCCACGGCCCAGGGCCAGGCCAGGCCTCTGTTGAGGTGAGGGACCTTTGAGTGCCATTTCATGTGACTGTGCTCCTCGGAGCGGAGTTGTGTTTCTGGGGCCTGGACGCTGTGTTTCACGGGGCCCAGTCTGATCAGAGTGCTGCCTGCCCTTCCCACTGCCGGCATTGTGTCGGTGCCTGTCCCTTTATGGTGCGCCACCGTGGGAGCTCACGTCACCCCACGCAGCCTCAACAGGGCCTGCTGGCTGCCCTCGCCTTTGGCCTTCAGCCCTGGGTAGATGGCAGCCTGAAAGTTCCGGGATGCTTCAGCAGGGGTCTCCGGCTGGCCTTCCCCGCGCCTCCTGCTTACCTTTCGACTGTCCTGACTTTCTTAATCAGCGTCTGAGGTATCTGTACCTTTGTATCTGAAGTCAGATGCCCTTTGCTTGGTCTAGGGTGCCGCTGGCGTAATGGGGAGCCTGCGCCTTTGGCTGCGAAGGGCTCAGTGGGCGTGGCTGGGGAGGACTGTCCATCGCTGATGGGGACTGAGCTGCAAGTGGGTCCTGGGTGGACACTGGCTGCCCCGGAGGGGGACACTGATGTGTTTTCCACTTACAGTAGCAGGGAGACCTGCTGTTGACCTTCCTGCTTCCTCGGGGGGCAGGGGGCATCACTGTGCCTTGCAAACCCTGCCCGTCCCATCTTAGAGGGGGACCGGATGTGTGCTCTCCTCAGGACGACGTGGTCCTTACATGTCGGAGTAGATCACAGGGATGCTCTCTAAGATGGCGGAGAAGTAAAACTCAGCACGTTTGGTTCCGCGTTAGAACGAGGAATCCCTCCTCCCGCCCATCGTCTTTCCTGAGGAATCATGACGCACAGCGGAGTGGCAGATTCCGAGGGCGGGGAGGAGGGGGTCTGAGCATCGCTGCCCCGGGGCCTCCCGGAGGGCAGGCCGGTGGGGACACCTCCTGCAAGCGAGGGGTCAGCCCTGCGGAGGGGCTGGGACTTGCCCTCACCTCGACGCCCACCTCTCCAGGCTTTTCTGGAAGCTTAACTGGGCCAGACACTGCTCCTCTGTAGCCTGAGGGTTTCTGTGTGAAGCCTTTCCGGGCCTCGATTTTAGGGTAATGAGTCAGCTCTGCGGGAAGGAGGGGGTCGGTGGGAGTCTGATAGCGGCGGCCAGGAGCCGGCATGTTTTCTTCACTTTGTTTGGTTCCCGCCCCATCTCCTGGAGTTGGTTTTTTCCTCTACTTTAAATTTCAGTTCTGGGAGATGTGACCATTCAAGGGTATTTAGACCTGGGGGTGTACAGCCTGGTGCTGCCTGTTCCTGTGGGCCCCTCGTTGGTCCCTGGTGGCTCTTTCTGAGTGGGTGTTGGGCCTTGGGCTCTTTTCTGTGGCTCTTCCTGTTCTGGGTTCCTGGATTTAACGCACGGTTTCACTTCGGCCCTGTGTGTCCCTGTCGGTGGGCCTTTGTGCGTGGTGGTAGGTGGTGCCCTGGGGCGGGGGGTGCTGGGCAGGCCTGCAACCTGCTGCCCCTCCCCTGCTTGCATGCGCTCTAGCTTCCTGTGCTTTCTCTTGGTGATGGTCCCTGCCCGCCTCCCTCATGGGGCTTGGGGAGATCCAAGGGGTGCAGTGCCTTTGTGGGCTTCATGCTCCTCCACGTGTGGCTCGGTGGCTTCCTTCTGTGCTCAGGCCCAGGTGAGCCCCACAGGCACCAGCAGATCCTTGGGTTGTGTCACCTGGGCAGGCCTGCTAGCAGTGGGGGAGCCGGGGGGGTCTGGAGTTTTCTGGTTGTCGTTTTGCTTTTGTGTGAGGCACGTCTGTTTTCCCATGGAGTAACGCTCTACCAGTAAGGCCAGTGGGCTTCTTGGGTGTTCACTAGTTTCACTTTATTGCCCCGGTCACGCGGGTCTGCACTGGCCGGTTACGGGAGGAGGGGATGGCTGTGGCACGGTGGCGTTCCCGAAGGGCAGGTGGCGCGGGTGGGAGCCTTCTTACTGGGGAACAGGGCCATGGGGGGGGGGTCCAGGAGGCCATCCTCACCCCCTGCGCGCTCTCTCCCCAGACAGCGCCGGCGACACTGCTCCTCTGCAGTGGTCCCAGTCTCTCCCGCACTCGGTGGCGGCCGCCGTGGGTGGCACGTCTGACCCCAGCGCCCTCAGCAGCTCAGCGTTAAGTGAACGAGAGGCCTCCCGGCTCGACAAGTTCAAGCAGCTCCTTGCCGGCCTGAACACAGACCTCGGTGAGTCCCTCGCCGGCGGAAGGCACGTGCACCTGCGCCCCCACGTGTGGTTTACTTTGTCAGAGGGCGATGTGTTTGTGCCGTCCTGCGCGAGTCACAGAGATGAGCCGTTTGTCCTTGAGGTTTACTTCAGCTGTGTGTTGGTCATGGGCTTCCGGGGCCATTGATCCGGTATTTTCTGTTCTGTTCTATTTTTTAATGCTCCGATTGAACTCCTTTGGCTTCTTGGGGCTGAACTGGTTTGCTCCACAGGACTGGCCAGCTTGGTGTCCCTGCTTTTCAGAGTCTTCGTGGGGACACAGAGCTGGTGACCGGGGTCCTGAGTGCTGCTGACTTTACACCTTCCTTGGTGTAAAGTGTGGGATAGGCTGTGAACACCCCGGGAGCGCAGGCGGGGCTGGGGTGGGCGGGCCAGCAGGGGGCCGTACAGTCAGCAGTGTGGTTCTCGGGGGTCACCATGGCCGCGGGGCCGCTCTGCCACCAGGCTCTGAGGCGGGTGCTCGCCTCCAGGTCCATTTGCTGGGCTTCCCCTCGAAGCTGCGTCCTTTCCTCGGTACGTCTCATCTTTGCGGAGTGCCACGCTGCATTGGGCATATTGCTGGCTGCGGGGGCTCTCCGGAAGGTGGTATGTGGCCGCGGTCACGAGATCACGCATGGTGGAGGGTGGGTGCCAGGGTGGCACGGAGGGCTGGCGCGCCTCGGCCGCAGTGGCCCGCTCCGCCAGCAGGTGGCGCGTGAGGCACGCGGCTGGGCTGCCCAGGAGGGAGGCGGGCGGAGGCGGAGCGAGCATGGAGCTGAAGGATAGGCCGTGTCCCTGAGGATGCTGCTCCCCTTGTGGGTGCAGAAGGGTTCCTCCCGCGAGTTTCTGCGTTTTCATTTTCCTGATTGATTTGCTCACGCACACGTAAGACAGTCACGCGGCACCAGAGGATGTGCGGTAAAAATGGGTCGCTCTCCTCTTCCCCAGCCCTGCTTTCCCTCCTTCGCGTGATTCCAGGTGTCTTCTTCCAGGGACAGGAAGGGAGGCCTCTCGTTCTCTTAACGCTGAGCTGCTGAGGGCGCTGGGGTCAGATCTCGCACATGACGATGCACGTGACGTCTTAAACCTTTTATTTAGGTGTAATTTCAAATGTAGAAGAAAGTTGCAAGAACGGGTTAGGGTTAGGGTAGGTGACCCTGTGACCCATGCAGCCCCACAGTCAGCATGTTGGAGCCAGGAACACTCCCCCTGTGCTGAGCTCCCGGGCAAACCCTGCAGGTCCCCTCCCCTGGCTGACCCCCTGAAGTTTCTGTCCCCACCTGCCATGAGTTGGAAGTCCCCACAACCTCCTCTTCAGGTTTGGATAATCTGCTCCAGTGGCTCATGGAACTCAGAGAAACATGTGTGATTCTTGGGCACAGCCATGAATCTCAGCTTCTTCATGATGGGGGGCAGCCCAGCAGCTGAGTGACCATGCAGGGCTGCCTCTGCTTTTATTTCATTTTTTTATCAGAAAATCAAGGGCAGTTGCCTCAAAGCGTGGGAGAGGAGGACAAAGGGATGGCAAGTATCCTGAAGCGGTAAAGCAGTCCTGCACCCTCCCCTAGGGGCAGGCACTCAGGGAGGCAGTCATGGGATAAGGGGAAAGTGGGATGTTTGTGCTAGCAAGCACCAGGTGCAGAAAGGGGACCTGAGGGTTACATTCTTTCCTAGCTCCTAACCTGTGCCCTGCCCCTGGGGATCATGGGATCCTGCTCCTACTGGGCCCTTGCGTTCAATAGTCTGAGAACAGGAACGCTGTTGACCTTTCAGCTGCTTCCACAATCACTCCTGTGGGCTTACAATATATTTTCTAAGAATAATTCCACACTTCCTCCGTGAGGTGGACTACCTGGTATGCACAGAGGTGGATATGAAGTTCTGCGACCACGTGAGTATGGAGATCCTGTCCCCCCTCTTTGGCACCCTGCACCCCGGTTTCTACCAGGCAGCCCACAAGGACTTCAGCTACGAGCATTGGCCACAGTCGCAGGCACACATCCCCAGGGACAAGGGCGACTTTTACTACATGAGGACCTTTTTTGCGGGGTCGGTGGTAGAGGACCAACTGACCTTGGCCTGTCACCAGGCAATGGGGGTCAACCTGGCCACTGGGATTGAGGCTGTGTGGCACAATGAGAGCCACCTGAACAGGTACTTGCTGGACCATAAGCCCATTAAGGTGCTGTCCCCAGAGGACCCGTGGGACCCTCAGCTGCTGGGCTGTCCCCGAGAGGACCTGTGGGACCCACAGCTGCTGGGCTGCCCCTGGAGGACCTGTGGGATCCACAGCTGCTGGGCTGCGCCCCATCATGAAGAAGCTGAGATTCATGGCTGTGCCCAAGAATCACCAGGACATCAGCAGTGGTTATTACTTGAGGAGTCATTTTGGTGCCCACCAGGTCTTTCACTTGAGTTAACAGATGAGCCCGAAGGAAGGACGTCATCAGTTAGGAAGTACAGACGAAGGTCAGAGTGGAGGTGGGCAAAGGCCTCTTTAACTCAGAGAGCGGGGGAGCCCCGAGGTTCTTCTACACACCTTGCCCTGCTCATCGATTCCAGCTGCCTGGCTCTGAGTTCTGTCCTTTTAATGAACTGGTCATCTAGTAAGTAACATGTTTCTCTGAGTTCCATGAGCCACTGGAGCAGATTATTCAAACCTGAAGAGGAGGTTGTGGGGACTTCCAGTCTGTAGCCCATAGCTCGGAAACAGGGGTGACCTCTCTGCCCAGCCACCGGCTGACCACTGAGTTAACAGCACAGGGATTCAGTGGCCACACACGGCAAAGAATCAGACTTGACAAAGTGAGTTCAGAAAAGTCACTAAGCCAACAGTAGCAACTACAACGAGCAGCAATCATGAAGCCTGGAGTGGGGAAGGTCTGATGTTCAGGATGCTTCCATTATAATATTCATAATCACACCCTGGACTTGTCACTGGGGCCAAGTCCCCCGGCTGGGGGTCAGGTAGCTCCTACATGTTCCACGTGCCTCTCTCTGGCTCCCCCAGCCGTGCACAGTCCTATGCTGCTTCCCAGCAGAGGTCAGTTTTAACCAAAGCCAGGAAGATGGGATGGGTTTTCCTGACTCCCCACCCCTGCCCCACAGGGCTGCAAGAGAGGAAAAAGGTTTCCTCAACCCTGTTAAGGTCCCCGGCTGAGTCTGGAAATTGACAAAGACAGATGAACAGGAGAAAAGCAAGCAAAATGTATTGATTGCTTTGGTGGGAGCCTCACAAGACCATGAAGACCAGCAGAGGTGACTGGAGCAGACAGCTCTTCTACCTTTTAGACAAAGAAGCAGTAAGTGTGTGAAGAATTGACAGACGCAGGGGTTTGGACTAGGGCTCGTAAACCGTAAAGAAGTAACTAGGAAGATAAGGGTTAGTTTAACCAGGTGTGTGTGTATAGACCCCGTGGTCCTAAATTCCTTGACTCTGGTGATAAGCACGTCATCTCTGTGGTCCGGGGAGAGAAAGTTCCACATGGCAGTCTTCTGACCTGCTTAAGGGAAAAAGGGCTGATGGCTGGGGGTCAGAGAGACCTTCTTGCTTTGCTCTATGCAAAAGTTCTTTTAGCTTCTGTATTTATTTTGCCAAGGTGCCGTATTTGGGGTAGTGTGTCCTAACCCTCACTGGCCTGGTGCTGTACTCTGTCTCCTAGTATCCAGGACATTGGATGTGCTGCTGTGGAGACCTTCCAGCCCTGGGGTAGCCCCTTGTCCAGGGAGGCACCTGCCTCAAGGGGAGGGTCGCTAAGGGTGGCCGCCCCTCCTCAGGGAGATTGGGTGGGAGAATGCAGATCTTACTTCGAGAAACTGACTTTATTTCCTGAAAAGGTCTACCTGATAGTGGGATCATACGGGAGTTCTTTTTTTAGTATTTTTGGGAAGCTTCATCCTTTTCCCAGCATGGGTGTGCCAACCAAAGTCAATTCCAGATGATTTTTACCTATAAACCAGAGATTTTGCAAGAACCTCTCCAGCAGAGAACATGAGGAGAACAGTTTCAAGACCTTAGACAGGCAGAGATTTCCCAGGATGCAAAATATACTAACCGTAGGAACAAACCGGTGACTTAGAAACTATGAAATGAAGAACTGGCTCTCCTTCTTCCATTTCTGGCTAGTGTGCTGGTCTGTGGCTCGATCTCACCTCAGGCAGCTGAAAGGTTGACCTCCCAGGTCAGCTACCACTGAGATGGCTACTGTTTCTAGAAATTCTTCGGGGTGTGGCCGGTTTTCCCCACCTGTGCATTGATCAAGTCGGCGACCTCGGACAGTGGAGCCACGGGTCCTCCAGGCATGGTTCCCCCCCAATGCCCCAGTAAAGCCATTCCACTGAGGGTTTAGGGGGACCGGAGCTGCCCCTAGGCAAAAACACCAGAGGTTCTCACTGTCCCTACCTGGCCTTCAGATGCTCCTCAGTTACTCCTGTGCCTCTGGTGTCTTCCTGGAACCCTGACCTGGCTGGTTTTGGACAGTTTGTCCAGTGGTACCCTCACTTTCTGGGAGGGGGATTTGCTGGAATCCGCAGTGTGTCCTGCAGCCCCACCGGGATCACTTTTTGAAGGCACGTCGCCTGGGCCATCTGAGGACTCAAGACTGTGGGTCTGTGGCTTGGAGGGATTCTGAGCAGCTGGTGGGATTCTGAGCGCTGGTGGGATGGGAGGGCTGCAAGGCCCAGAGGCAGGTTTCCAGGAAGCTGTCTGGGGTCCCCGGCATCCTGCCGTTTTTGAATCAAAGCCCTGAGATCTTTAAAATGCCAGCAACGTTACAGCATGGGCCAGAAAAGCAAATGTCCCTGTGCACCCAACACCACCTAAACTATTGGCCATTTCTTGTCACTTGAGTTGAGTAGAAAGGATTGGGAGTCAGGGCTTGAGGGGGGTCCTGGGTCAGACTTTGTGTTTGGGGGACAAAGGTCATCCGGACAAGCTTGTGCTGAGGCTGAGGAGGGGGTCTGTGTGGAGACCCCAGCTGCA